TCCCCTGATGGGGCCCTCAGTTCTCGCACTCTCACACTGGCTCTCGACATCAAGTACCTTTCATATGCTGGCTTTCACATGGCGTAACTTACTGGATGTCCTGTCCTGTTCCTGGTCAGTAAACTGGGGGTTACTTTATACCTCAGATGGTCCACCTTAAAACTGGTAGATCTACTGTTGCATGGATCCTGACTGGGTATTGAAGTACTTGTAGTACTTGAAATTAGCTGGTCCAGACCTATATCCCCCATAGGTCTCATAGATAAGCAATACATACTGAACATCTATGCTGCTCACTTCCATTGCAGAAGTGGTTTTGCACTCCTGACCAAGGAGTGTGTCTAGATACATTGGGTATGGTGACCCCCAAATATTTTTGGTGGAAAGCCTGCGGGCATATGTACTGGTTAATAATAGCAGCATCCATAGGCTAAAATATAGGTGCAATATAGTACAAATAGCCTATTAAAATTACGGACATCAGGTGAATTTTTAATGAATCATGCACTGTGTAGGGATTGAAGGTGTGTGGATTGTATAGAGGTGTCCATAACATGCATATACAAGTATGAGATGTACTCAATAGCTTTGATCAGCAGGGATGGCTTATCCCAGTGAATGCAGGGCACTATCAGGTCTATAGAATGAGCAATTCATATAGGACTGTATATCTCAGGCTACAGTACATGGGGCATCTCGTAAGTTGCACCATGTGAAAGCCAGCATATGAAAGGTACTTGATGTCGAGAGCCAGTGTGAGAGTGCGAGAACTGAGGGCCCCATCAGGGGATGGATAAAGGGGAGGCAGGAGGAAGGGGTAGGTGCCCAGAGCTAATGGCTGAAGACGCCGGGATATGGAGTACACCATCATGTTCCCAGACATTCATAACCCTAGTGACAATATTTACAGGCGCATATAGCGGTAGAAAAGCGAGCTGCAGGGGGTATGCTAAAGGGGAGGCAGGGGGAAGGGGTACCTACAGCTCCACAATGCGTGGATGGATCGTCACGCGCTTCTCAGAGCCTAATCTAGATACATATAGAGCTACATGAAGCACCTGCGCGAAACCCTACCTGTACTGGTAGGCTAGCTAGCCCAGTACCAATAAATAAATGCATTTTCGTAAATAATCCCCTGGCCTAGCTAGACTGCATACCAGGGCTGGCTTGGCTGTCAGCTACTGTACCTGTACTCATGCTGCATCTACTACAGCTAGCCCTGTAGGGAGGGAGGCCCTAGGGAGGGAGGGAGGCCAGCCAGAAGGGAGGAGCAGCTAGACAGCAGGGCATTTGATGGCATTGATGGGACCCAAGAAGTTGGTTACCTAACAATGATGGCACCCACATGATGGCCCTGTCATTTCTCTATATGGTTAATCTATCAGGCTTCATAATTAGCTAGAATATTGTACTAACCATAGAGCCTCTAACGACAGGCTCCAAACCAAATATTAGTGCCCTGTGGTTAGCCTGGATCCAGTAACAGTGAGTTGCCCTGTTGAACAGGCTCCATGATTAGTGAAACGACAACTACGGCCCCGCCGAGAATTGCCAGCCAGTAGTGCGAGCCTTCGACATCGAAGCCGACGTCTACAGAGAGGTGTACGAGGGCAGGGAAATTGCCCGAGTCCAGAAGAACCGCAATACTCGCACTGTCGACGTCGTGTAGTGACAGCATGCGGATGCAATGCGTGCGAGTTCTGCTGATTTTGAAAACCTCCACCGGTCTGGTCAACACGAATCGCAACCTCTGTAGTCGTAGTCTGCGGAGCTCGTCTGCCCCACTTGTCAGAGCAAGGAGTTCGTTGATATCGACCAACGGACGAACGCCAGTGTTGCGGCGCTGGTCAAGGATGACGTGAAGAACACAAAGTTTGAGCGGCGACACGCGCAGGGCGCGTGGAGGTACGTTCTCAAGTACTGCGTAGCGTAGCCGCGGGCAGTCATGCGTAATGACTACACATGGCTCCTCCTCCTGCTCGCCTATCATCCTGGGTGGAATGCCTCCGAGATGGACGTGCTCGAGCATTGGTCCCAGGGCCGTAGCATGCTTGGCAATGTCGCGCATCCAGTCCCAGTTGGGTACAGAGACGTGGAAGAAGTACGCCCGCGCAAGATGAGGCGTGAGTAGGTCCATTATTTCCCTGAACGCATCGCGCGATCCGTGCGAGAAAGCGTCGAGATCGATATGGAGTTTGCAGTTGCCCGATCGTTGTAATGTCGTCGAAAGCTTGCGCAGAAGGCGAGAATGCACCTCTGCGTCCGGTTCTGAATCATCATCCAGATTGAGGTTTATGTATGTCCAGAGTACGGGCGTAGCCAGGACGAGAGATCTCCACCCCCGTGACACGAGCGATAGCTGGGCTAGAAGTCCCGGGCTCTCGTGAACGGCAAGTTCGAATGTACGCTGCAAGATCTCGGGCGGAAGTCGCCTGACAAGCGAGCGCGCGCCGAGCCAGTGCTCCTTGCGCAAGCGGAGGTCTGCCAGAGTCTTCTCAAGAGACGCTATCTGGCGATCAATCTCAAGAAGTTCTGGATCCAAAGGACGCGGGTCTCTGGTGAGACATCTCAGCCTCGCACGAGAAGACGGGAAGAGCGACTTACAAAGAATGTAGCTCGGAGCCCTCGGAGAGACCCTCTGGCGGTAGGAGTGAAAAGGGACGCCTGTTCCAAAGTACCAGTCGGTCCTGTCCCCATAATGCAAGAGCGTCGAATGGGAACTGGTCACTCTGCATTGTTGCTCGCGACGCTGAGGGACAAGATAAATCGGATTGTGCACATGATAGGATGGCCAACGTACGACTGAAACCCCGGAGTCGGTGGCGTGCGGGTAGGAAAACGGGAGTGCTATCGACGCTTGACCCTGGTTATATTGCCCTTAGAGGCGAATTGGGCCATAGATTGATGTCGGCCATGTCCGTAGAGGTTAGATCGTTTGTGTATCCTATGCTGAAGGGGGTATGCACCTTAGAGTACAGTAATTGAAAGACTCGTGGCTGATACATACGCGAGTGGCGGCGGCGGATCAAGTGCTGTTACCACGCCACGCCGCGCTGCGTGCCCACTCTTCAGCCGATTAAAAAGTGCGACCTCACTCCGGTTCCGAATGACCAGTTACCGCATACAACATGGTGATTCGCAGCGAACGTCGAGTGATAGGCCAGGTGGTAGTGCGACGACAATCCGGAAGGGCCGGCACGCGCATGGAAAACTGACCTTCCCACGTGCGTTTGGTAATCGATAGACTCAAGAACACGTTCTACGACGCTATGCAGGTATCTACCTACGAGTTGGGCCGGCCGAACATGCGATACTAGGAGAGATGGGCTCCAGCCGTGCAGGTAGCGCCGTGAAGTCAGGCTAGTACTACTTCCACCGATGTCACAAGTTCATATTTGAGCAAGTATATACAGAGGACAGCGTGTAAACTGTGAGAATACCGGGAAACGAGAACGGGAGGCATCGTTTTAACATGGCTGAGACTAGAGTATGTTGCGAACACGGATATGAGGGGAAGAGGAAGGTTCTGGGATCGCCGCATGCTACATGGCAAGTAATGAACTCGGAAGGGGCGGAGTATTCTGCGGAGGTGACCCACAGACTTGCGGTCGATAGAGCAACCTAAGTGAGATATGTCAATTGCTGGCATTTGGCAAGAACCAGCAAATACGACGTACCTTCCCCCACTCGTTACATCAACGATGGTAAGGTTGGACAAGCGGTCCAAACAGGGTAATCATACATCGCTGAAGATCCTCCGGTATACAAATGCTGTATCCGTGTGTCAGTGGATGTCATGACCTGTACATCTGCGCTGCGTCACTTACAGCCAGTATAGCTATCGCATGGAGGGCCGAGGTGGATGATATCGCCATCCTCAAGCCGGATCGACGTGTTGGTGGACAGAGGAATATCGGAACTGTTCATCTACGGGGAAGGGATCAGTTACAATAGACACAGAAACTTCGCGTACACTCACATACGTGCCATTCCTGGGCGAATGATTGAGCAAGACGGTTCTCCCCGTCACGGCACTGCAGATCAAAGCGACGTGGTGACAACCTACATAAGCTGGGTCAGGGAAAAGTGGGCGCGCAACGTCGGAACCACGCACTTGTATACAATTTGTTGCTCCTGATCTGTATCTGCGCATCTCCTAGCTCCTGCAACACTCCGCGGCCGACTTCATAACGAACTGTCGTCGTCAAGAGGTGAACTCCGTCTGTCTGGGCGTCGACGAAGTCTCCAGGGTGCAAAGGAAGTATGTGACCAACGCAAGCAAGTGGGTGCCCATTTGCTCCAGCGTTGTTATTGAGGAGGGACATGGTGTAGACAGTGAGCGTGAACGGAAGCCAGCGGTGCGTCGTCGTCCTCGAGAAAGCGTACGTAGATGGCGTGCGGCGACGCCCCCTTGCAATTGCTAGGCTATTTAAGGATAAGAGGAGGACTGATCGACCGGCAAGCATGGTCCATGTTGGGTCCATGTAGAGCTTCGCATTTGACCCCAAAGAAGCTATATCAGTTTATGAAGAGTGTCCATAGTGCATATCGCCTGAGTTGAGCTAGGTGGCCGTCCAAGAAACTCGGCGATCACTTGACATGTGCATCGTTCAGCGTCTCGTCGAATATGTTTTTCGAGTACGCGCTGGCCGCATCGTCCCGCAGACCACTCTGACACCTTTCGCGCATCCAATCGTCTGCGAGTGGTCCCGTTCACCCCTTGCTGACATTTCGGTTCGCGACAGCCGGATCGGCGGCGAAATCGGTGTGATCGCCGTCATCGACGCTGACGCTCTTCCAATTGCCATTCGATGTGCGGGAACGTACGGACGTTCTCGTCGCTCGATTCCCGCAACTGTGCGACAATTTGGTGCGGCGTGATGGTGCGATACACTCATATCTCGCGTCAAGCGAGAGGGGACTGATGGCGCGCACTGCCTAGTCGTATCCAGGAAGGCTAGGCCGGCGCAAGTCCATTTCCCCCGCACAGCTGCCATTGGAGTACCCTTGCTCGCTTTGAAAGGGACGGTCTGACCGCGCCACCAACTCTCGCGAAAAGGTGAGCCTGGGAGCTTCGTAGCGCGCACTACGAGGCGCCCGCCGGTACGGGAGGTCACGAGGCTCTCTTCGAGACGGTGCGGGATAGCGCACCGCACCGCACGGGCTTGTGCGATGCAGGGATTGAATGGTAGCTGACATTCACCACTGTGCAGCCAGTCACGCGTCGAAAGAGGGAGGGCACTGAGGCGCTGGTGAGGGAGCTGTTATAGGTATGGCGATGGGTAGAGGGAGGTGGATACCCCTAGCCCTGCTCCCCTGTTCGTCGGCTGGGCACGTATCTGCACAAGCGGCTCCTCCTGCGTTACAGCGCCCGCGCCCAGTACACGCTCGATTAGGTCCTGTTGTAGAAACCTGCACTCGTCGTCACTACGTGTTATATTAGCATCAGTACATAGCAAACACGATAGTCCACGCACGCGAGTTATCCGGCGGCATCGGCGGCTGCGAGTTCGGCTAAGCGTGCTGCAAGAGCGGTACTGTCCAAACTAGAGCTGGAGTCAGAGATCCAGACAATCGCCAAGATAGAAGCCATCTTGTAGCCATCTCAACCGCTACCGAAGACATAAGCCGTAAGCTGAATGTAGAAAAGCATATGCGTGCGAACACAAGGGTGAAATATGACGTACGTGACGGCGGTCGTGCTTGCCCTGTGCGCGGGAGCAGGATTTGGCGTTGGCGGTCCCATGTCCCACGCCCATGCCCCAACGCCATCCTTCTCCTCTGCTCGTGGATCAGGCGTATCAGGCACGATAATCGCACTCAACCTCGACAAGGGCCGTCCTCGCCGTGCTGCCTCTTGAGGCGGCGGCTGGAGAAGAAGATGCGTGCGGGAGTTCGCGGGATGGTTGGGGGAGTAGTGTTGAAGGTAGCAGTCGCTGTGGCCGCGGTGTTGACATATGCTACATTTCAAGCCCAGCCTCTTAACCGGTAGACGACTGGCAGGAGGATCAGTACTTGAGTACGCTTTGAAGAGGGTGAGCTGCTCACCAGATAGAGCACTTGAGTGCGGGTACCCGGCATTCGCCGTAGCTGTGGCCGAACTCGGGGGGTATCGCTTCTCGCATCGGCCGCATGGAATCTGCAGAGTCGTTCTTGCATACAGAGCATGTGAGTCTCGGGTTCGACTTTGGGTATGAAGGTCTCGATGCGAACCTTTGTGGAGTTTTGCACATCAGCGTTCGGCGCGTATTTGCGTATATACGCAACAGTCGCATGCAACGCGCTCCGCCCGGATGATAGACTTGTAGGCGAGACCATTTTTCTCGTTCCAGCACCAACCCCTCCGCCAAAACGCTCTCCATCGCGACACTGCTCCCATTCTTTCAGACGAATCTTCAACATCCGCACTATTTTCCAAATCCAAGCTGTCCAACGCTCCTTCGCCAGCATGTTTGAGACTTCCACTCGCTCCGCCTGCGGCTACGGACGGTGTAAGGCTTGGTTTGGTCATGATAGTGCCCTTGACCGACCGGGTCCGAAGACGGACGGACAGAGTGTGAAGGACATTTGGTTTGGGTCTTCGCGAGAAGCGAGAGGTGAGGCTTGTGGTGGGGAATATTGCGGGGGACGAGAGTTTGAGGGTCCTTTACTTGGGGGAGGATGTGCCTGCGAGTGCTGAGGTAGAGGCTGAAGATGAAGGGGCGGGTGTAGAGGGGACTTCGTGAGTTGTTGCGCGGCGCTGATGAGTAGTAGTGCTTTGTCCTATGCAATGTCGTCTGGAGATCGGAGGGGTAGAACTACGACAACGCGAAGGCCTGTATGTATGACGTAGGTCCGGTTGAGAGAAGGCGCAGGAGGTGTGCGGGACCCAGGACCCGAGCAAGTCGCGGAAAACAATATCTGCGCATGGGAAGAAAATCATCAGGGTAAAATAGAAGAATATATTAAGGGGGTTGACCGGTAAAGCCGCCTTCGATTGAGGCCGACAACACCCACTTCGCCAATTACAACCGCCTGACATCCCAAATCTCAACCGAATCTCCAGACTCAACATCTCCTGTCCTCTTCTCGTCCCTCCCGACTGCAATCTCGACCTCACGACTTGTCGAGCGTCGGATATCCCATATAAGAAGGTCGCAATCTGAGAGCCGGTAAGACAGTCGTAAGGTACCACTGACGATAGCGCGAGGTGGTCGATAGGTTCTGGGAAAGCAATGAACATGTCGTCATGTTGAGGGAACGAGAACTACGCACAGTAGTCGACCCTGCTTTTCTGTTCTGTGGGCTTGTCACGCGGAGGGATGCTATTGGGGATTCGCGACTTGTGCATCTCTGCGTTCCGTTCGTCAGCTAAGGGGAAGAGCCGATGGCTAGCACGGACAGAGAGCGTACAGATATGAATCGTTCAAGTGATGAACTGCGAGAATGAGGCCGGCGGTGCCATGTAGCATTCAGCGGCGGTAGCATTGCGGTGGACGGGTACGGAGAGAGCCCTGGGATGGGGAAGGGAGAGGACTAGAGCAGGCAGAGCCCTACTGCCATGGAGGACGGATGATGATGGTGGCGAGGGGAACTGTCACGCATCGACCCGAAAGGCGGCAAATAGTGTGACCGAGTCGCCGTGAAGGTAGGTAGTCCAAGTGGGGGCGCTCTCTCTTGTAAAAGAGATCAAGTATGCAGATTCTGCAGTCAACACGCGAGTGGTCGGGTTCTATTGCACGCATTTGGGGTTCTACTTGCGCCTAGCCACATAGTGCGGATTTGCTCCTGGGAGCCCGTATCGTCACCGCATGGGATGGCACCGTGCATTCAATGACACATAGAGATACGATAAACATGATGGTGGTGGTATAGAACGATGTGGCTAGAAAAGAAACGGCGTGCGGTTTGATATGGACGGACGCGTGTGACTGACTAACCGGCCGATTCGCGCGCACGAGCTTGCGGCGGGGCCGAGCCTGGCCGAGCGCACCATGTTCTGTCACAGACGTGCCGCCAAAGTGCCGCCTTGTCCTGATTGCCCTCGGTCTACGCAATGTGATGGGCCGCGTTGACTCGTCATAATCGTAAGGACCACGCCTCATGGGCAGCGCTGTGATCTGAGGCTGGTATACATCACCGGGAAAATCCCGTTGCATGAGCTAACTTTGTGCGGGCGAAGAGCAATGATCGAGACACGCTCGAGATAGGAGTATCAGCACATCGTAAGATTATGTTAAGATAAGCGTAAGGTACACATTCAGAGAGAGGACGACTCGTCCGTACATATTTACGACTCAGAATCGCGGAACATACGCGAAAGAGAAACAAAACGACAATGGCTGACCGTCACTCCTATATCCTCCAAGACATCGCCCCACTCCGGCCACCCTAGCAGCGCTGAATCAATCATGATCTCCTGCACCGGGTGACCAAGAGACTGTCGAGTGCGGACCACTGCGAGGAGAACTTCCAGGCCAGCCGCGCAAGCCAGTCTCTTCTGCCTGTTGCCCGTAGTTTCAAGAGTGACAGGGTCGTCAACGTAGATGAAGATGAAGTTCAAACGAGGGAAGATCGTGAAGAAAGTTCCGATGTCACAGGTGTGATGAACGAGCAAGGGCAAGAGAGCGGCGCAGTCCTCGATGTAGATGCCCAAGCGCCTGACCTCCTGCGCGCCGGAAAATGCGGTTATCCACCCAGGCTGAGCGAGAATAAGTGGCGCGGCGCGACAAGCAAACATGATGGTGCCGGTTTTACTGAGCGGCAGCGTGAAGAAGCTATTCTGCGCGTCTGGTTCGGAAACTTCGGCGTCCATGTAGAAACTGACGCGAGTGGTAGCATCTTCCGCATCCTGGAAGAGCGCCTCCTCAACGGAGTGCGACCGCTCGCAGTTGCTAGTGAGGGACCGTCTTCCATCCAGGATGACGTTGGTAGGATATCCCTGTAGCACATATACGTTTGACAACGCCATACAAGCCAGTGTATGGATGGAAGGATGATAGACGTCGCTGAAGACATCGGGTTCGCTATTGCCGAATGGATCGTTGATTCGAACGCCGATGTGGATGTGGTGCTCGCAATAGATGCGAATGACGAAGACCAAACATGAGCGATGCAGACGCGTATCTTCGGAGGCGGTGACCGTCATCGAGCGCAGCGTGGGCGGGAGAATCATGTGTGGGTAGTCTATGTATGTCGTGGCCTTCGGAAAGACGTTCTCGAGGGTGAGGACCTCCAGGGATGTCGCGGATATGAGAAGGTCGGATAGCTGCTGCGGCGTAGGTAGCAATGCAAGCGTGTTCTCCTCGGAACAGTACAAGTCCATGCGCTGAAGGTTCCGGAAGAAGGGCGCATCCCAACGCGAAGGAAGACAATCGACGAGCACCAGTTCGACCAACGACGGGTTGACGCAAAGGTCGAGAGGTAAGGTGGGAACATTCGTCGGGACCACGTCATCTAACAGGAGAGTGACGTGCAGTTCACGAAGACTGGGTATCGCCAGCTGAAGGTGTTCCGCGGCGCGAGCGAACGTAGTGCGTGAGAAACGGTGAAGGCGAAGGCCTCTCAAACGGCTGAGCGTTGAAGGACTGAAGCACTGAGCGAGTCTTTCTGTGGTGCCCCGAGTGCTGATGGCGCCGTCTTGAAAGCTGAGACGAAGGGGTAGCGTCCGCGAGCGTTCGATAATTCGAGGGATGAGAGGGCTTGGGATCATGAACAAATCTCCGGGTTCTGTCCATAGGCATGGGTATTCCAAAGCTACCTGTAGAATCGAATTGAGTGACCGACTGGCATGAGGGGGGGTGCGAAACGTACAATTCGCCACAAGTGGCAAACCTGTGTCACAGCCAGCCAGTGAAGGCGCTTGTTACCCTCCTCATCCTCCTCATCCTCGGTCGTCGGCCACCCGTCCAGAGAGAGCGCGAACTTGAAGATCGTACACATCGTTTCGACGGGCAAGGAACACCAGTTGTTCAGACCATTGCGATAACGCTTGATCATTGCAACCGACGGCATAAGCGAGTGTTCCAGCTCATCGTCAAGGGCCTCCATGAGCGCGGGAGAATCCAGGACTCCCGAAGAGCCGTTAACCAGATGAGCATCCGGCGCAAAGTGCCAAACGACACTGAGGGCGGTTAAGAACATGGTGCATAAGGAACGAGCCGATTGAAGGCCACATACCCAAGTTTACCAAACTTCATGGCCATGTCCAGTTACGCGAGTTGAGTGAGAGATGTTGAGCAGGGAGAGAGGTAAGGAGCATGACCTGCCACATAGACAATTTATGTGTCCTGCACGGCACCAAAGATGTCAAAAGCACCACGTTGCGCCTCACGCGAGTGTGAGCATCCCTTGTCCGAGTATGGTAGGCTCATTGCCTGCCGCTAAGCATCCCGAACGTACTGCACGCCATCAAATTCGGTGAAGGGGAGCCTGTCCTTCATTGAAGCACAAAGCACAACTGCGCTCCCGTGTCGATTATGCCTGCAGGCCCTCACATGCGTGACATCAGCTCGCGTATCGTGTACTGAGTCGTCAAGTCATGTCCGGTTGAGAGTACTCGGCCCGTGCAGCAGTTGGGCGTTCTCAACATTGTATGGGTGAATGTGTACAGCATCATTTGCCTCAAGCTTCGGAGGAGCACAAACTCAACAGAGTTCGAGTTTATTTGTACTGCGTGATCCGACCGGTATCGGTGATACCGCGAATCTGGACCCTGCGTCAAATGGGTGCCACTGTGGTCTTGAAACGGGTTGGCCGGATGGGGTCGTAACGCCAGTTATATACAACTTCGTCTTCACGAACGAACGCGCTAGCATGCTAAGTACGCACTCAGTGAGCGTCTCTAACCAGTTTCAAGAAACGTACTTTCCTATGCTTGGTTATTATCGTGGCGACGCGCTCAAGAGCGCATCGTACCGCACATTCACAACTGGAGATCGACCGCCCGTGGAGACCGAGCCGGAGAGATGCGCCACGATCTAGATCTAGCAGTGTCAAGCAAGCTCACTGGTAGCCTTGACAGCGGTGCCCACTAGATGTTGGACAAGGTCTTGAATGCCGAAAGCAGAACAGAGATGTGGATGAAGGAGGAGGTCAGGACACGCCATGATCGGATCATCAAGCGAACACCGTGGACGTGCCTTGCCCGTATTCCCACGTGTGCTACGGGCCGGATGACTACTTCCGAAATCCTATCCCAGGATACTTCACAACCTCGCAGAACCCTCTGATGCACAAATATGGCAATGGAGGGCTCGCTTGGAGTATACCGAATTGGATTGGGCCTGTGCGATGTCTTCGAGCCCGAATGCGCGATCACTCATCATTAATCAGGAGTCTATAGTATAGCACCGGCCTTTGTCCGAGAGGCGCCATAGGAACTACGTAGTACGTACAGAAGGGACATGTACAGTCTGAGAACTGAAGAGTGATCAGAGAACATGGGTATAGCGGTGTGAGGGAAGTTCAGTACTACGCTTAAGACAAGAGCTTCCGAGGCAGCGACAATAGACACTAGCTCCCCCAAAGAGCTTGAAGATATGAGGAGGAGCCTTGGAAAATGACTGGAATGTCAATCGCAAGGGTGCTCCATATCGCCCACCCCCTCAACGCATTATCGACGAACAGCGCCTCCAATCTTGAATCGACACTGTGGTCCTTCCTAGCGCGGACTATAGCCTGGAGCGCCGCGGCTGCTCCCGTGCTTACCGCATCCCTCTCCCTCAGGCGGTTGGTGATAAAGGATCGCTCGAGGTGGATGTGCAGTATCTTGAGGGCAGGGAACGCCGCGAAGGCCAAGGTACCGTCCGTCGACACTGTTTTGAGCAAGGGCAGTAGCTTCGCGCAATCACTAAAGTATAGCGCGATGTCGCGTACGTGTTCGGCGTCTCTCATCGCGTGCCACCATAAGTCGCTCTCGAGATGGGCCCATGCTCCCGAGCAGTTGAGCGAGATCGAGCGAAGCTCGTGGAGAGGAATAGGTACAGCACCCTCGTACAAGAACGACGTGTCGGCGATAGACGGGAGATCGAAGTCGAAGGTCAGGAGAGAGGATACTCCCGGTACGTCCGCGTACATATACTGTGTCATGGAGATGGGCCGAGCGCGTTGTGGCGATTGCTGGGTCTCGGAGTCATGCGTGAGGAATGACTTGTGACCGAGGATGATGTGTCTCGGCGGGCTGAACTGCTGCCTGTATATGTTCTCGAGGGCCGAGCGAATGAGGGATTGAATACGCTTTGCATCGGCGCCGGACGAGGCCATGTCAATCAGACCGCCATCTAGAACTCCGAGGGAAACCTCCATGCGTATGTTTGGACGCCGGAAGACCACATTTGTCAAGAAGACCAAAGCGTCGCGGTGTTGGGAAGCGTTTCGCCAATTGACGACGTCCATCCCACGCAACTCCGAAGACAATATCATTGGCGGATAGGGATAGGTGGGACCCTGGAGGTGAATGCCGTCGATGGTAAAGAACTCGAGCGCAGTGGCAGAGGCCAGGATTCGGGAGAACTCCAACGTCGAGGGCATGAGATGAGGAACCTCCGGATCCCCCGTATACGAGAGTGAGAGACGAATGAGGTAAGGGCCGAACATGGGAGCGTCCCAGCGCGAAGGCAGACAATTGTGGAGTTCAACGCGGGTCATGTACGAATTCGATGTGAGGACGGTGGGAAGTAATACGGGGCATTCGTCCGCCCCGAGGAGTACGCTGACGGTCAACTGGCGTAGAGACCGGAATGAGCCAACGCGGAAGTACCCGCGCTCGAGGAAGCGGAAGTTGCCGACGGAGAACGACAGCAGGAGTAACTCCGCGACGGGAACGTTGCGCGCAGGCAATAGAATCTTGTGTCCGACGCTCTTGAGACGTCGAAGACTGGACGCTGACAGCTCCAAACGCGAAGGGAGATTTCGCGCCCTCTCTCGGATCAACCGCGAGAAAAGCGGCGGAAGCGCGAAATAGTCGCGCGGATCCGTCCAAAGAGAAGGTGTGTTTATCGCGAGCTACCAGCAGATGCACACTTGTTAGTGTGATACCAACCTGACGGATAGCATTGTCCGTACCTCTCTCCAATAGGAACACATGTGCGTAAGTTCGATCCAGCCCAAGTCCACGCTGTTCTGAGCACGCGAGGTCTCCTCCTCCTCGTTGTCTTCGTCGTCGTCATACCAGTCGCATCGAGCTACAGCATTGAGCTTGGGCCATCCGAAGTCGACCTTGGCGAATGAGATGATGTCGCAGATGATCTCTGGAGGAAAGCCGCATAGGAAGGAAGCATTGTTCCGGGTGCGCTTGAGACGAGTGAGATATGAAGACGCCGCTCCCGCGTTCGCAAGCTCTTTGATAATTGTGTCGAGGCTATCCAGGCGCGCGTCGGAGTAGCGAGTAGTGTTGGTTGCAAATAGACGGTACACAGACTCGGGAGGACTGCCATACAAGGTCAATACGCAAGTAGCATGAGATGCGATCATGGAGACGTACACTAACTGCCAGTCCATTGTCAACGACAAGGGTGTTCGTGCGAGCAGGTGGAGGAGGATACGGGCTGTTGCCACGCGTGCATTTATACCTTCAACACTGGTCTTGCCGGACACTGGGCCAGCCTTGCCTGGCCCGACTGTCCCGGAAGACCCAAGTCCTTGTTCACGGATTCGGAACACTGTGATTGGAGCGTAGATACCAACGAGATCGCCGGATTGCAGTGCAAGTTTAAAGTACAACCATGCCCCGCCGATCGTGAAGGGGCGTACGTATCCGTGAGGTTAGCAATACATGCCGGTGATCTGGACTTGTTCCCGTTCCGGAATAGCTAGATGAACGAGAGATTCGTTCACCTAGGATTTGTTCTGGGCCGTACAGGGTAGACGACAATGGTCCGCCAGGGGTGACAAAAGATACAACCAAGGTCATTCGTTCTGTGGAACGAGCCAGACGACTGGTTGTCAGCCTGCTATTCATCCGTACGTCGATGTATGTCACCTAGCTTGACACTCTCCGACGCAAGTACTTCGCAGGAGGAGCCAGAGAAGTCTGAGCCTAGCGAGACCGTGTTGGTTACAGCGACTTCTATGAGATGTCTAGGCGTGCGCACGGCAAACGGTGCGCCTTCTCGTTTCATGAGGGCGAGGGTTCGATTCTCTCCCTGCACATTCGAGGTGGCAATTCTTTTTGCTTTTCCCGAGCTCGAAGTCCGGAAGTCGAATCCTGGGCGCTGTCGCGGACCATTTCAGCGTATTGAAACAGTGAGCAGACGTCCGCGTATGCTGTGTACTGGCGATCGGCAAGATCGTACTCAAGTAGCTGGTGGATCAACCTCTGGGCCGTCTGCCGACAAATTTAGTTGACGGACATTTCGTCGTCGCGTAGGCCGTAGTGTATAACGAAGATATTGATGTGCCCAACGTACAACCACGCCCGCAGGACTATCGCCAATGGATGTTTGGGAGAAGGAGCATAGCTGTCCAGTTGGAAAACCGGAGCGCGTGGGCGCACTTCCCGAACATGCCGGCCGCCCCGCGCGTGTCACTGAAGATGAAGCCTTGGCAAGCGCCGGGGTCTATGCAGGGCCGCAGCTTGCCTTGTAGGCCCATATCACAGCGTCTGTTCTACAGACCTATCTGAGCCCACGTCCCCCTGTGAATGCGTGGAAATTAGCCCTTGGGGGCCCGCGCTCACGTTCGCGCGTCTGTGTCGATCACCGAGCAGTGCGGTAGTACTGGCGGCCGCGTCCTCGTCTTGTCCTCTGACCACCACCACCGGGATTATATCGTGTTGTCAGAGCCTTGTGACTTGCGCGCACACCCGCTCCTAATGATTGTGTACACTTGCCTACGAACTTTCCTGCGTTCTCCCTATTACCTTGCGTTACCCGCGATGCTTCTGGGGGTATGTACGCGGCCATTCCGCATGTTTCACTCCCCGGCCCCTCAAACTCGCATGAACCGCAGTCTCTTGTTAAAACGACGCAATGTCGTCTGTCTAGACCTCTGACGATGTCGATGGCGAAGAGAGGGACTCCTCAACAGCCGCGGCTTATGTAGCAACGACGACTGCTGCTTCAACGTGTCATATAGCTACCGAACCTCGATATCGTCACTTGCAGAAGATCGCAAGTTATCGCAAACAACTTGCATGGACGCTGCTGACAGCGCTGGCGCGTCCGCGTCGAGCATTGACAGCGTGCTTACAGACAACCCGGTCCCGAGCGGCGGCAGCTGTATTTCCGAAACAGTGTTTGCGTAGCAGCCCACTTTTGGTGGTCACAATGCCTGCTGCGTTTGCGTTTGATTGTTTGACGCTTCTGTGCAGTTGCAATGCATGCAATTCCGCTGTGGTGGGAGAAGGAGAGCTCATCGGTAACGACGTCCCTAGCACCTTTTCGCTAAGCGCTGACGTATCGCAGTTACAGACACCGGTCAACGCGATGCTAGACGGCCGGTCTGTAGTTTGTGTATACAGACACACGAGGCCTGGAAGTGGTGGCAGCGCAGAGGCGAGGGAGCCTTGTCGATGGTTGCCGTTGGAGCTCGAACGCGATGCGCGGCTGCGCGGCTCGGGGTTGGCCTCGGTGATCTTACCCGCGCCCGAGCCACGCCTAGTGGGACGTCGGGCTTCTCTGGCACTGATGGACAATTCGTTTGTCTCGACACTTCTGGGATGCATGTAATATCAGGCCATGACATGTAGAGTCCGTCCTAGAAGATCGCAGAGCGCAAATTGATACTATAGAAGCTCGTTCGGGCACAGAGTATGAGAACCGGGACACGAACAACATAGGATTGTGCCCTACTCAGGACAGCTAGTATACAATAGATCGCCTTGACACGGCGTGGTTCCGAACCAACTTAAGGTCCCAACATCAACCTCGCGGATACAATGCCATTACTCGCAGAGTCCTCTACGGCGAGTGAATGCAAACTATACCATGGGATGCCATGGATTCATAGGTCGCATGGCACTGACCCCTGCTGTGAAGTATAACGTAATCAGAATCAGTACCACGGTTCTCACATGCAGAAAGTCCGACTAAGATGCACCAATCTACACAGCAGCGTAGTAAATCGCAAGTAAACCAACGATGCACATGAGCGTTGTGCAGGGCCGAAGCTGTATCGCAAACCGTCTCCGAGCATTATCTAGAGATAATCAGACTACGACAGAACATCACGGTAGGACACTCACGCTGTTCGGTGCGTGGTGCTGTCGATATCATGTTCACGGCGTCCCAGAAGTATAGGACCCCGGAAAACGTTCCAGAGATGATGCGGAGTCGATCACCAGCGGTATGCGCCTAGTAAAGCTGTTCGGCCTCTGCGTCTCGCAGCGGGATTCGCTAGCACTCACAATTAGGGCGGGCACATGTAATTCATCTGGAAATGAATGAGTCAGGGCAAGCATCATAGGGTCAAAGGGAGAATGCGGACCATGCACCAACTTCTGTTGCTGGAGCGGGCGCTGACCGTCGACATTCCATACACGAACATTTCCAGTGAATGATCCCGAAACAAGGGCACGACCATCGTGTATGTATAGTAGGGGGAGCGAGACCGCCGCCCGGCCTTTGTCCAGGGGTATGAACAACGCTCGCTGCTGGGTACGAACATCGTATATCTGGATTCCTGCGCGGATAGAATGGATACTGAGAAATTGGTGATCGGGGGACAGAGCCGCTGCCCCACTGTTAAGTCAGCTATAGGCTGATTATGAAGACAGAGTGTCCTACCATCCTGAAGAAGGGATATGCCACAGAGGTTCCAATAAGGTTGGGTTCCAGCAGCTTGAGAGTCTACGTCAGGTCACGTATGTCACCAACCGGTATCGACTCACACGATTCCGTGCCATAGATATGAGCATAACAATGAGAGAGACAACTCAGAGCTCTGATTGCATCGTAGCCAATGGACCGAGCTCACGATCTCCTCCTTCACTTCAACCTCCAGTAGAAGACGCGTGACAGAGGGTAAGCGTGCCACCAGTGACCAGGAATCTGGCAACATGTGAAAGCTATTAATATCAAACTTTCGCCCTGTACAGAGACTTGGCCACTCACGCGCATCAGAGCGCACGTTACGCCATATCTTGACGACCATTGAGCTGGCGGTAGCTGCTAGAGAATCTATAGGGTGCAATGAGATATGTTGAACGGGGCTCCCATCATGTGCGTCCAGATGATATCGAGCGGAGCGGATGTTTCTCTGCCTCTGGATCCCGTCGTTAGCTACTGCGACCACAAGCAACGGATACAGAATCGCACAGGGTCTACGACACAGCTTGAGATAGTCCCATCGAAGTGACCGCATATTAGCCCGTGAAGGTCATGACAAGTCCAGCGTAGTGATGAAAGAGGTTGTTCATGCGACAAAGTAGCAAAGCTTGTGTCAGAATGCAGGTCCCATACGTGTAGTATGCCATCCACGCCGCCTGAAGCTAGATAGCGACCGTCTGGACTAATAGTCAATGCCAAGATCGCGGACTTGTGTACCCTGTGGATGCGGGTACAGTGGTACTCAAGGACCATCTCTGAGTTGAGTGATGCAGCTGGATTCACCGAGTGGGCAGATGTTGGTGGTTCCGCTACAAGTTGGCAGGTTGACAGCCGAGCCAACGTCCGATCGCCCGTTGCCCATTCTTCGCACGCTTCGCCCAGCGCAGCGGCCACACGATACTATAGGCTCTTGCCATGTTCACACTCAAGTCCCCTCTCTCGCAAAAGCCCATAGGTGAATGCAGTCTGGGATAGCAATGCATATCGAAGGTCGGGGCGAAGAACTGTCGGACGCGGCCAGCTGACTGCCTCGGGTCAACTTCGGGTTGATCAATACATAGAGGCTAGGCCGCGCGCGTATAGATGTCCATGAAGGCCGGACAAGCCCGGTGCATCAGAGATGACGAGTGCTGAGCGCTGAGTACTTCACGAATCTCGCAGTGGGTCATCGGTCGTCACTTATCCGTCACGGATGGAGCTCAGACGTTCGGGATTGGGAGCATGAGGCTAACAGTACTACCATGGGAACAATGGCGGATCGGAGTATTGATCCGGCGTGAGCGAGCGGCGGGAGTCATTTTGCTGGAAACATTTCTTAGCGATCCCTTGGACAGTCTCGTTGAGAGCTAGTGCGGACGTTACTATTCAGTGTACAGCGAGGCTCGGCAGTGAGGACAGGTCATAGGTAAGGCCACAGGAGACAAGAGGATAAGAGGATTCGATGGGTCGCGCGGAGGCACCACGTGGGTTCGTAGTGACGTTGTCTTGATAGTCAACACACTTGGTTACGACCACCACCTGCGCCGGACAGGGGGCCTCAAAGCATTTTCAGTTACCCTATGCGATGTTATCGATCATCTTGCTTGTGACTCAAACGAATGGGTGCAACAAATCAACATACCTGGGACGCGGAGTATTTGCCATGGTCTGGATTCGTCAGGTTCACTGGTTTGTTGTGTGTTGCCTTCCATTCTTTCATCAGGAGGGAACAAGAGTACCATCACCGATATACGTCTCTCATAGCTACGTATCAAGCATCGCTTCCCCCGCCGTCTCAAAGCTTAAGCTTGTCGAACTGACAGAATGCCGGTCGAGCATAGGTTCGCTTGTTCTATAACCGAGTGCGATGCATAGCCCCACTTGTATCCTGAAATGTTCGCACTTTGGGACTTCCATTTGCAGAGGCTCATACCATGTGGAGGATCTGCTGCATAAGGATATTTCTTGTGTTGACATAGTACAAAAAGCTCTTGTGTCGCTCAATTCACTGCCACTACTCTGATCTACTCTGTGATGCAGGCATCAACCCAACCGCTGGCCGGCGAGACTGGTCGTGAAGAGCGGTCGCCCCCTCCGCCGCCTAGTGCGTTACCCATTTTGCCACTTCGTCTTATCCTGACACTGTCGAACAGTCACTGGCAAACGCAGTCGCTCGAGCCCGCCCGCAACATTTACTATATTGAAACCAGACTGTCAAGCCCATGACCCGACTGTGACATTCGACGCCATGAGGCGATTCCCCAAAGGGAATGGAAAGTACTTGAAAGCCTCTCATACTTGGTCATGGGCACCGGACAGCGTGCTCAAGACGTCCAAGTTTCGCGGCCGTCCTCGTACTGTGGTGCGTTCGCACCTACGTGGAAACATGTTTCTGGTCTAACATCTCGCAGACCCGGCTTGATAGCATGGCCGTCGATGACAACATCACCACGAATGGGGCGGACAGCAGCGAGCTGAAGCCGAGTCTCTTCGACGGTGTATTCGAGCGTGAGTGATCGTCGGTGCCTGTGCGCGAAAGGGGCATATTCTGACTGAAGGCCCATCGATTCGCAGATTATACTCAACCTCTCGGAATCCCGTCTGATAAGTGCGAGTTTCTAGCTCGCGGGTTCTGGATCAACTACGTGGACTCGACAAACTCTGGCACAGGCGACATGGCCGCAGCTTATGCGGCGTTGCAGACCTCTTATCTTGAACTACCTGGCGCAAACGTTGCAGATATGGGTTACTTAGAACGCTTATGGTACGCTAAGTACCATGCCTCTCTGCTTGACGCCATCAGTTAACCATACATTACCGCTGTCAACTTTCGTGCATAAGGTAGCAGCGGATGCCGCCCGGCATCGTTGTGAACGGAGAAGCGGATCCGCGCGAGAGGTCGCCCCAAGGTAGGTAGAGGGGTAGAGAAACAGTAGGTGCCGGAGTTCCGGCACGAGGTTGCCGGAGGGGCATCAAAAGTACTGGGGCTGTCCGGATATGGTATCTACATATAGCGTAGGATATAGAAAGCTTAATTAATAGGCCAGAATAGCAATTTTTGGAATGCCATTCGGCATATTCGGCTGGTTCGGCACCGTGCCGAACCAGCCTTTCCCGGCGTTTTCGGCAGGCTGGCCAATTCCACATAATAGCTCGGCACGCCGGGTAGGCCGCGAAAAGACAATTTCGGCAGCATCGGCACGCTCGGCGACTGATCAGGCGTGCCGAGCTCCGGCCGTATACGGGCGCTACCGGCAGCCTCGGCATTGGCGGCAGGTTAAATATCGGCATATCCGGCTTTCCCGGCGCCGGGATAAAATAGTTCAAAATGTTCAAAATATCACTCCCCTCTGTAAATGTTGTGCCATCAGCACTTGATGATGCGTAGGTGTACAGCCACAACTGGAGCTTCTCAGCAAGACTAAATGGACCATAACCCGTATCGTAGGGCACATCCACGAATATAATAATTCGGGAATTGGGGGCCGTTACCTTGTAAAATGGTGCTCCTTTAAAGCGTAGTAGTAGATACCCCTAGACATTGAGGTATCATTAGCTAGTTGTTTCAATCATTCCGATATAAGTACAGGGTCCGAACAGACCAGTATAACCTCATCGACGAGACCACAGGATGGGTCATTATAGCCTGCCGGATGCGCCGGCTCCGGCAGCTGAGAAGCGGCCTGCCCGGTTAAAAACATCCGGTACGTTTGTAGGGCGTAAGCGTGGGAACTCCATATATTCCGACACAGCATGTATTTCAAATATATAAGAAGGGGTCGTTGTAAAGATTTCAGAAAAAGAGCGAACTCAGCGATGTGACAATACTCAGATTCTTATGATAGGCGACAAATATGAATGTTATCCGACGCCACTCACGGTAAAGACCGGTTACATCGTCTCGGAAGCCGCGTCAGTTGAGGACAACAAAGTCCGGCCGGAATGCCGGTTGGGCACCGGCAGCTTCGGCAGCCCGCCGAGGACGGGGGGGCCTGTAGTTAACAAGTGTGGTTCCTACGACGACTTGGACCGTAATTACTCGTAGACCATTAGGATATAAAGCATTTGAGTTAGATTTGGATGGCCACTGAAGTTTTTTAACTCATTGAGGTGCTCTAATACTGTCGATGGGTAAATTTCCGACTCGCGAACTCTGGGAAAATGGAGAAAGACAATGAGGTGGTGAATTAAAAAGATTGCTTGCAGTACTTGTCACCCATCTGCTGCGCATCCTGGTGAGCTGTGTGGTACACTCGTGAGTCGATTGCGATTCCTGAGGGACCTCTCCGACCGGTTCGGCATGGTCGAAGGCGATGGCCGGCACGTATGCTCGGCACACGGCCGCGGCCGGCACGTTTGTTCGGCATGCGCCGGCAGGTCCGGCGCTTTCACTTCGTCTTGTTGCATGCCATCAATGCCATCATTAAGGCACGAGGGGGGATGTGCTGGCATCTTGGCTTCACCCCTCATGACCTCTCTCTACCCGGTGCCTTTAGATGATGCTCAGAGCACAATTCCATCAACATGGGCTTTGAAGTATACTGATTCTGTTGCTCATTTTGCCCAACAACTTTGGGCAGTGGAGCTTGGGATTGAGGGTGCCCCTCGTCCTATGCGTGACCCGGCAGTCATAGATATCGGAGTCGAAGACGAAGTTCGCCATTTAGTCCGCGGCTTTGGAAGAGCTTTACGCAACCAATGTAAGTTCCTCATGTCTGAATGGTGTCCCTAACTAATTCCTTCCTTCAAGACAAACTGAGCTGGAGTTGTAAAGCTTACAATGCATCGGTTGGAGGCCAAGATGGCGACAATCCGGCCCTGGAGAAGGCACTTAGCGAGCTGTACCCTGGACTTGATAATGTCATAGAGTCGGGACCAGCTTCCATTGTAGACAAAAGAGGAGTGTTGGTGTTATTCCTGGTACCTGATGCTCTTATGAGAAATCGACAAGTGAAGTCTAGATTTAATCACAATGCTTACGTTGGCTAACGAATTCTAGGCCGAAATTTTCCTGAGCATGTCTCTCATTAATCCCACATTGCAGAAGGCGAAAAACCGGCCACAAACCCGCGGTACCTGGAGACAAGCCGTGGGCAACTTTGAGGAGGGAGGCTTTCTGGAACCTGGATTAGCTACCTTGGGCATTAGACAGTCCCAGGGACATGAGGTATGCTTGCTCCATGATGGCTGTAGCGTTCAATAACGAGGACTCTGCAGAAGCCCAAGGAAGAAATTCATGTGACTGCCGACCTCGGCCGCTCCGGCAGCTCTCCGGCAGCCGCCCAAGCCTCGGCACGTAGTTGGCTGGATAACTCGCTCGTCTTCGGCGCCTTGATGTCGGCGGCTCTGGCCATCACGCATCCTGAGCAATATGCACTCGCGCGGGAGTGTCTTGTTCGCCTCTCACGAGAGTGTCCCACTCTGGAGGATATCCTCGAAATATGGCCTTTCGCATTCAATGCCCTCGCGATCGTCTCCAACCGAGCGACCCCTACCCATCGCGATCGCAATAGCGGTGATGTCGACGACTATGACGGCATGTGTACCATTGGTGGAGATGATCGGGTGGTCATCGAGTTCCCCGGTCTAGGCTTACGCGCGAGATATCAATCCGGAACCATGGTATGGACGTCGTGCTATATGCACTTGCACTCGGTCTCAGAGTCCCCCGACGCGGAGAGGGTAGCCTTTGCGGCTTATGTCAAGCAGTCCGTGCATTTGGAGACAGGGCTGGAGGCACCCAGGGCCCCGACATTAGCAGTTATACAAGACTCCCTAGTCCGCCAGATGCGGAGTAAGTGATAGCGTGCACATTCATAGTCTTTCACACATTTAGATCATGACATTTTATATACAAATGCGCCGTGACTAGGCGATAGCATCCATCAGGCAGCCAATATACTAAAAATTACATACAATGCAAGACGACAATTGCCCCGGCAGGCCGTGGTCCCGGCAGGCCGAATGTGCCGAGGCTCAGGAGCCTTCGGCAGCTCCGGCAGTGTTAGCGGCTGTGACCGGCGCGTTCCCGAGTGCCGTCCGGGGTGCGTCGGGATAGACTGCCTTGTAGAGCTCCCGAAGCCCTTGGCTGTCACGGT